AAAACGCCAAGTGAAGGACATCACAGAAACTTACAGTCGAAACTACGATATCCCAGCTAATAAGGACATTTGGAAGAAGATCTTCCACATTCAGGACAATACTATAGAGCTCCTGTATCAGTACGCTTACAACTTTGTCACAAATGATACCAGGAGTTTCATCAAACCGAACTTGGCAGAAACTGGCGGAAAAATCCTGTTCTATCCGGATAAAACTTCTGGTTATATTGTGGGTATCATTGTTTAGTTTTTATAATAACTATCGTGAGACATAATAAATTAACTAAAATCGCTGGTTACTCACGTGAATATACTGAGAAAAGCTCTACTAGTTTTGAACCACAGAGGGGTTCTTCCTCGTGAGCAGCGTGTGCGACGTCGCCGCGACCGCGCAGAGTAGTAGAGCTTTTCTCAGTATATTCACGTGAGTAACCCGCGACTTTAGTTAATATTATTGTTAAGTTAGAATATTTTATAATCTCTATAAGTGGTGCAAAACATTTTACTTTCATATTTTCAACTATCGGTTAACGTATACCTTTTGCGCTATATTTGGTGAAGGACCTATGACGATGAGAGTAATTCGATCAGCAAAAGGTCACCGTAAAATTGCTTCTAAAGACAAAAGCGTTAAAGTATAATTCTGCATATTTATTTCACAAACGTAGACCTATTCAAGACTTAGTACCCATCTTACCTAATTAATTTTAGGCGGATCCTAATGCCCCTCAACCTCGCCCCCTAGACGTGTACTACGCTCTCTGTGAGAATATAGACTGGGAATATCAAACTACGAAGCACATTAGAGATCGGGAGACTGATGTAAACAGCTACCTTCGACAAAGACACCGCGAACTGAAGGAACCAATACTGTACGTCGCTCTCTTTGACACAGAGAGAAATGAGGCTGCAAAGAAAGGCTGGACTGAGAGGGTAAGTATTAAATATGATAGTTCTTTTATTATTTACTAGCAGCCCGTCCCGTAGACAATTATTTATTTTTGGAAATTTGGATTGTTGTTGTGACATAACTACAATAGTCGGACATATGCTACCGCGAAGTTTTTTGTAGACATTACGATGTTCTTCAAGATTGTTGTACATTATTTATATCTATCGCTAATAGTTTCGGCAGCGCATTCGACGAAAGACATTTTAAGACTCATTTTTCTACACCTTTGGTTACATTGTTCATATTTTATTAAGGATCCCTAATTTTTTTCAAAATGAAATATAGCCTATGTAAATTGGAAGAATGTAGCATTCTATTCATTCTATTGGTGAAAGAATTTTTTTAATCGGCCCAGTACTTTTTGAGCCTATTCATTACAAACATACAAAAATAGGTACAAATCTTTCCTCTTTATAATATTAGTATAGAGTATAGATTTTAGGCACTTACATACATTCTATAGTTTGGTATTTTTAAAATGTTTAGTTCCTCAGATACTGTTTAGTTAGCTACCAAACAGGTCAACATCACAAAAATATCTGTTTCAATCTAGCAACTTAAAACCTTTTGATGAATTTCCAGGAAATCCAAAAAGCTGAAGTGACAGAGAGAGAAAAGGAAGCTGAGATCGATCCTCTCGCTCCATACCTCGCTCGTATGTTCGGTTCGGGACATGGCACAGGCTCTCAAATCTCCCTGAAAGAAGCTACGCTGATCAGGGAGCAGTGTATCAACGACTTCAAAGCCAAACAGCTGGTCAGGCAGAATTTAGTGCAAGAGAGATTTGATAAGGTATTTTTGAATTTATAAAATTTCCAAAACTGTCTGATTTGAATAATTCTTTATGTGTTGGATAACGCATTTATAACGGATGGCTATAGGCTATAATAAAACATATAAAACATCACGCTACGACCAATAAGAGCTGAGCAGAGCGTGTGAAACCGCGCCGAAGTAGCTAGTTATACATATTGATTATTGAATTTGCGTTTACTTTTCAGTTCAATGCTGAATACAAAACGAAGAGGCTGTGGTATTTGGCCAACCAGTTCATCCTCACGCCAGAAAAAGAGAGCGCCTACTTCGCTACAAGGTATGTACAGCATCGCTTACCTATTAGTTACTCGATTCTCTTATACATATATGAGAGATCTCTTGATACCTCTTTTGACTTCGAACCCCAAAGAAATCGGCAAGTTCTTCAAATCTTTAATGTAACATTTACTTTTCATCAGTTGGGTAAAAAGACCGATGTAATAAGAGCTGCAGTCTATTACTACAGATAACAATACAAACAATTCCAAATTCTGCGCAACTACTGATTTTTTTCCAAAAACCCTATAATAGTGTATTTATTTTATTTGCTCAATTAAATCGTTGCTTGCTTCATTGCTCACACCATTAACTCTTCTCTGCATCACCCAAAGGTCAGACTGGGAGAAAATGTCTGAGGCATTAAGTCCACCTTATGTACATTTTGTACATGAATCTTATATAAATAAATAAATATAAAACTCCCCGATCCGGGAATTATCACGAATCTCCTAACTCGCCAGTTGAAGTTGCGACCACTCGACTGACGAGACAATTGTCCAGTCCCAGCAATAGTCAGTCCTATTTTATATTGCTAACATTAATCTCATTTGCAGTGCGGAACTGTCCTTCAAAGTGCATGCGTTGGAAGTGAGACTGACACGCCACCGTGACCTGTCTGGACCTAGATTCAAGGCCTTGTTAGATTACCTGGACAAACACCCACTGCTCCAGGAGTTCAACAAAGCAACATATATTCACCACCGGAATGAAAGGGACAGAAAAGCATTTAACAACTTTTAACGGGCTTTATTTTATTTTGTTGTACTGCGACAGTCGCTTTGAATGCTGAGTGCTAAACACGAATAACTATCGCATTCGTAACGTAATAGTATCGAGCGCGTTCGGCGCTCTGATTGGCCGGCTCAAGTGAACCAACCAATCAGAACGCTTAACTCGCTCGATACTCTTACGATACAAATGCGATAATTATTCGTGCTTGGCTCTCAGCTAAAGGTTATGGGCCCCTAATGTTGATCGAAAGTAGTCGAGTAACGTCAACAAACCGTAGAACCTATGTGATTAGAATATCTGTTAGAAATGTAGCCCCTCAAGTTAAATTTATAATTATAGTACACCTATATGATAGGAAAATACTTATATTTTCTTATATCTTTTCCTATCGAGCAATTAATTACTAAAGAGTTCAACAAAGCAACATATCTTCACCACCGGAATGAAAGGGACAGAAAAGCATTTAACAACTTTTAAACTGTCAAACACCGCGAGGACACCGGTGACCGCAACCTATTGTTCTGTAATCGTGTCTATAATGACGGTACTCAAAGGGTCGGGCTTTATTTTAATATAGTTGTATTGCAACGGTCGCTTTGAATGCTGTTAAAGGTTGTGGGTCCCTAATGTTGCTCGAAAGTAGTCGAGTCGTATGTCTCACGACAATTGTAAGATGACAAAAATTTTGACATGCATTAAAGAATCACTTGTGCTGGTGGTAGCAATGATGCAAAGCTCATTTTATTTTACTTTGATTAACAAATTGTGCGCGACTCGCTTTTAGAATCTGGGCCTGTAGCCAAACGCCACTTTAGCGCTTGTCTACAGAGAGAGTAGAAATCAAAATGTATGGGGATAACACTGACAAGTGTCAAAATTTACGTCAATCCCATATAATTTGATTTTCTATTCTACATGTAGACAAGCACTAAATGGCATTTGGCTACAGCTACTATTACCTTGCTACGCTACCATGTAGGTACGTTATGTTTTTATATTTTAATATTGTTATAGCACATAATAGTAACAGTTATAAATAATTATGTTATTCATTTACTATTTAATCTCTATTGGATATCAAATTATATTAATTAAAACACTTTTGTTAAAAAATGAGGATTTTTATTTAAAATTTACAATTACATATATATAGGTATAACATTTACATTTACATTTTATGAATAAAACTTGTTTTTTTTATCGATCAGACCCGTAACTCTCTGGTTTTGATTTTATATATTTGTTCTAGTCTAGATAATTCTACAAATGTGCGTCTTCATAAAACCACACCTTAATATTTACATACATTACCTATTCATTATAATTATGCATAACAAATTGACATACATGCCGGAAAAAGGGGGTGAATAGGGTTTGAGCGGCGAAAAGGGACAGAAGAGAGGTGAATCGATACTATAAAGAATTTCCTTATTTTTTTATGGCATAAACCGGTAAACGAGCAGACGGATCACCTTTTGGGGATAAGGAGTTTGATGATCGTTGGGGATTCAGGGATTGGGGAGATTGGGGAAGGGGAGGGTATTGAGCCTCCGGTAACCTCACTCATACGACGAAACACAACGCAAGCGTCGTTTCACGTCGGTTTTCTGTGAGGCCGTGGTATCACTCCGGTCGGGCCGGCCCATTCGTGCCGAAGCATGGCTCTCCCACACTTCACCGCTCTTCTGTCCCTACTCACCTCTCGATCATTATTGACCCCATTTTACCGTTACCTAAACAGCAAATTAATGTGCTTGGCTGAAATTATTTCCTCTAATTTGTAAGTGGGAGACGGGCGGTCTTTACACTACGTAATGAGATTCACAATCAAGTCTTCTAAATATACATAAAAAAACATAACATCACGCCTTTTATCCCGAAGCGGTAGGCAGAGGTGTACATTATACCACTGTACAATGTAACACCCACTTTTCACTATTTATGTTATGAGTCCCATTTAATAGGGGGTGAGCATATTGCCATATACCGGGCACAATTCCAGACTCCGTGCTACTACTGAGAATTATTAAAAACCCAGTAATACTTTGCCCGACCCGGGAATCGAACCCGAGACCCCTTGCCCGGCAGTCGCACTTGCGACCACTCGGCCAACGAGGCATGCAGGCAGAAAATTGATTCAATTTCCGAATATATTTACAAACAGTAAACAAGTTAATTAATTATTATTTTACATCTGTCTGTTTGAGCTCATAATTCCATTCTAATGCTTGGGTAATATCCAAGAAGGCCGTGGATAATTCAGGTCTGTGTTCCAGTCTCCAGCTCCACCTAGCAAATTGCCTCTGCCGTCATGAGTAGCCAAGGCTAAGCGAGATAACTTGTTGGCGAGTCTTCGTTGGGGAGAATCCGGCCTCGATAGTGGAGGAAGGGATATGCTACCGGAATCTGGAAATAAAGATTTTTTAATTTAATTTTAATTTATCTCAACTTCATACAACAAGTGTGTACAGGTGGACTTAACTCAACCTTTAAGTAGTGTAGAGATGAAAGTATCAGGTGATTTAAACCTTTATAAATAGACAATGTACCAGTATAATAAATAACAAATCTCACAATCATAATATTCAATAAACATTACACATATAGGTATATTTGAAAACTTATACATACTTACATATAACAATAATTATGTATACAATATTAAAGTACCTAAATATATAAATAATCAATTTTGTTATTTAAAGTTGTCTATCTATAATATCTTACCAAAATCACTAAATATTTTTATAATAACCATCGTGAGACATACTAAATGAACTAACAATCGCGGAGCTCTACTAGTTTCGAACCACAGAGGGGCTCTTACTCATGAGCAGCGTGCGCGTTTGCGGCGATGTCGCGCAGCCTACTCATTGATAAGAAGAAAAGCTTTCACTGAATATTATATGTATCTGCCAAGGATACCAACATTACATATGATTAATAAATGTATTTTGATAATACTAATCTTCTGCATTAGGCTGCGCGACATCGACGAGACCGCGTGGACATTCACGTGAATAACCCGCGATTTTTAGTTAATAATCATTAAATGTCTCTTTGAGCAATGTTACTCAATAGTAAACTCATTCTAGGTGACTGCCTCGTTGTCAGAGTGGTCGCAAATGCGACAGCCGAGAAAGGGGTCTCGAGTACGATTCCCGGGTCGACCAAACTACTACTGGGTTTTTTAAAACATTCTCATATGGCAATAGGCACACCACACCATATGGGACTCATAACATAAATAGGGAAAAGTGGGTGTTACATTGTACAGTGGCATTAAATGCCGAAATGTGCACCTTTGCCTACCCCTTCGGGGATAAATATTATGTTATGTTATATATTATATACAAGCAAAGATATAGGTACAACTTACCGGAATGGTAGTCGTAGTTGGCGTGGTCGCTGGGCGTCTCCTGGCCGAGCCTCTTGCGGTACTCGCCCGCAAAATGTTCAATCAAAGTGTCCATCATTATAGCTTGCTTTGAAAATACCTGAAAAATTTAAATGTGTATATAAGTAGAAGTAGTACTTGGCAAGGACAGTAAAAACATTTACTGATAGTAAATGAGGCCTTTACCAGCAGAGGGGTTCGTGCGACGCCAGCCTCCATCAATTTGAGAAGATGCAACTTTGTTCGGTATCCTTTTATTAAGTAATATGATAAATGAGTTAATAGCAATTCAAACAACGTTGAAAGCCATTTATGACTATTTAATTAAGATAGGTCGAGAGCGCAGACAAAAAGAGATAGGATACAAGAAAATAAATGAAGCTAAGTGTGCCTATGAAAAATTAAATAATACTTTGTCTCGAGTGTACGAACAGTTAAATAAATCAGAAATAAAGTCTACAGACATAGACATAATAAATAAAACTGTAGACGAAATTACTAATATCTATAGTAAAATAATTTCTTTAGTTCCAACGCCAACTGTAATTTCACAATCCACTACCATGACATTAGATAATTTCGATATGAAAACAGCCATCTCCCTGTTACCTGTTATGACAGGAGCAGAAAAAATTACCAAACAACTAATAGATGGCATAGATCTCTATAGCTCTATGATTACAACTGACGCGAACAATCAATTAATTAAATTTGTTTTGAAAACTAGATTATCAGCTAGTGCAAAGTTAAGAATGAATACGTCATACTCCTGTGTACAAGATTTGCTCACAGACATGAAAAAACATTTATTACAAAAAAAATCATCCGTCGCCCTTCAGGCACAGTTACATAGAGCAAACCAAGGGCATCGTTCTATAGAGTCTTTCGGCTCCGAATTAGAAGAACTTTTTGTTAATTTGACAGTTTCTCAAGCCGACGATGACAGTGAGAAATATAATATTCTTCGCCCCATTAATGAAAAATTAGCTATTAAGCGTTTCGCCGATGGCCTTGCGGATACTCGATTAAGTACAATAATAGCGTCAAGACAATTTCAGTCACTTCCAGATGCTATTCGTGCCGCTATTGATGAGAGTTCTATGGCTCCTGAAAGTGAAGTCATGCAGGTAAGAAATAGCCAAAACTCTCGGTCTCGTCCCAACAACTCAAACTATAGGCGGAATTCGCAGAACTTTAATCGCGGTCCCAATTTCATTAATAAACGATTACCCAATAACAATTCAAATAACAACAGTTGCAAAAACTCAGACACCAACAATGACAACAATAACAATACGGATAATTATTTGCGCAATAATACACAAGTGTGGAGGAACAACAATTGGAATCCGCGAAGACGTTTCGCAAGATACAATCCGCGGAATATTTCTTATAATCAATCATCAATGACTCACATGGAAGATAATGCACAAATCCAAAGTGAGGCAACTTCAAATAATTTCGAAACCGAGAATGAGTTTTTTCGTGGCGAAACAAATTGAACATTTTGTTTATAACTATAATAGTAATAGCATTATAACATGTAGATTATTTAATAGACTTATTAATTTACTTGCAGATAGCGGGGCAAGTCTTTGTGTAATTAAGTTTGAATGGTTAGAAAACAAATTACCTGAAATATTGAAATTTATAATTAAGGAGCAAATAGTAATAAAAGGGGTAACCGGTAATTTAGTTTCTCAAGGATATATTGATTTAAACTTAGAATGTCAAGGAACTTTTTTCTCGGGTAGATTTTATGTTTTTAGAAGCTTATCTTGCGCAGCAGATGCGATATTAGGGAGAAACTTTTTAGAAAAATATAAAGCAGTTATAAATTTTGATAACTGCACACTGTCTTTGAAAAACAGAGATATGTTAGTTACAACAAATATCTTAGGTAACGGTACCTACACACATGTTATACCACCTCGTTGTGAAATAGTACGCTATATTCCAACTTCATTATGTAGTGACTGTGTGGTGTTAGCTAAAGAAATAGCCTCACATCCAGGCATTTTTGTCGCGGGCATGATTGCTAAACCAAAAAATGGACAAATTCCATTACGGATATTAAATATAACCAATAAGGAAATAAAGGTGAACTTTCATAACATTGAAATATATAGTTTAAATTATTTTGATGCGTGTTCTTTTGATGAAGAACGAGTCTCGGTAAAACGCGTAAAGACGTTATTTGGTTTATTACAGTTGAGTTCGTATTTGAATAAAGAGGAACAAATATGCATAGAAAATATTTGCGCAAAATACGCAGACGTTTTTCATTTACCCGGCGATAAACTTTCGGTCACAAACTTATTGGAACATTCAATTAAGTTAAAGGATAATGTTACACCTGTTTATAAAAAGCCATATAGATTACCTCACGCATTAAAGTCTGAAATTAAAAAACAAATTAAAGAAATGCTAGATAACGATATAATCGAGGAAACAACGTCTGAGTGGTCCAGTCCGGTACTTTTAGTGCCCAAAAAGGCAGATAAATCAGGGGAAAAGAAATGGAGACTTGTCATTGACTATAGGCAGTTAAATAATGTTATTCAAGATGACAAATTTCCTTTGCCTAATATTACAGAAATCCTAGATTCGTTATCAGGTAGTATTTACTTTACCAAATTAGACCTTTCTCAAAGTTACTTTCAACTAAATCTAGATAAAAATTCGAGAAAATACACAGCGTTTACTATGGACAAAATGTATCAAATGAAAAGATGTCCCATGGGTTTAAAAACTAGCCCCAGCGTTTTTTCGAGATTAATGACAATAGCAATGTCTGGAATTAATTACAATCAAGCATTTATTTATTTGGATGACTGCATAGTAATTGGATCCTCTCTAGAAAATCATAATAAGAATCTTATAAAAGTACTTGAGAGGTTGCGGCAGGTCAATCTAAAACTGAACCCAACAAAATGCGAATTTTTACGTACTGAAATTATGTATCTTGGCCATAAAATAACTTCAAATGGAATTTATCCTGACCCAACAAAAATAGATACGTTACAAAACTATCCTAGACCAACAAAAGTGGATGAAGTTAAGAGATTTGTCGCATTCGCAAATTATTATCGACGCTTCATTCCACAATTTGCAAATTGTGCGTATCCATTAAATCAACTATGTAAGAAAAATGCAATTTTTAATTGGACGGCGGAATGTGAATTTGCTTTCCAAGCACTTAAAAAATCACTTATTAGCCCTAATGTTCTACAATATCCCGATTTTTCAGAGAAAAATATGTTCTTACTTCAAACTGACGCATCCAAAACAGGATTGGGCGCTGTTTTGTCCAACAGTAATGGTCGCGTCGTAGCGTATGCGAGTAGGAGTTTGAAACCAGCAGAAACTAGATATCCAATAATTGAATTGGAATTATTAGCAATCGTATGGGCAATTAGGCATTTTCGACCGTATTTATATGGAAGAAAATTTAGGATTCTTACGGATCACAAACCGTTGGTTTATTTGTTTGGAATGTCTGATCCATCTAGCCGATTAACTAAATTTAGATTATACCTTGAGGAATACGAATTTGATATAGAGCATGTACCAGGTCGCCTTAATGCAGCCGCAGATGCATTAAGTCGAATCCCATTAAGCTGTAAAGATTTAAAAGAAATGCGACAGCAAGTGATATCGGTTATGACGCGCGCGCAATATAGAAAGTTGTTAGAACCCGAAGTAGATAACAGACACACGGACTTGACGCTAGGAGACTCCACTACTACGCGGCCTGATCAACCAAAGGTGGTGGAAATTCTCAAAAAACCCAATGACATACATAGGTAGTGTAACATATAAAAATCGTACATATAAAACTGGAAACATCTTTATATATATAATTCTGCTGTACGTGTGTATGTCATTGAACTCCTCCTAAACGGCTTGACCGATTTAAATGATTTTTTCTGTATGCGTTTGAGTGGCGCCCTGGATGGTTTACATTCACAAATCAGCCCGGCAGATGGCGCTGCAGTCGGTCTAGGTTATTTATTCTAAACGGCTGAACTAATTTGAATGAATTTTTGTTTATATATTCAACGTCTGTCGGGTCCGCTAGTTAAGTTATAAATTTATTTAACTTTTATTTGTATTAGTAATTAAAACTTTTGATAAAAAAAAATACAATGGGCATTGTAAATGTGCATTTTCTGAAGGAAATAAAATGCTTTTTTATTTTTATTTTTTTATTATTTAATAAATGAAGGTACTAATTGTTACCTGTAAAATTTTGGAGACGCGCAGTCCGTTTTCCACCACCATAAACTGCAGGAACAGGCAAGGTAAGCAGTCCTCGCCGTCGTCTGAAGGCAATCCAAAGTCCCAGGACAACTCTTCGTAGAGAAGCCCCAGTAAGACCGTCTGTAAAGTGAAAAAGTATTGTTACTATTCAGGAAAAGCATGCTCATTTGATTTTTGATATGTAAAAGTCAGTAAAATTCTCTGATTCTTACCTAATGGCATTATTAACGCTTCGGTCGTATATAAATAATTAAATATAAATCCCATAATTTTTTGTGTGGGAGAGTCATGCTTCGGCTCGAATGGGCCAGCTCAACCGGAGTGATACCACGGCCTCACAGAAAACCGACGTGAAGCAACGCTTGCGTTGTGTTTCGTCGTATGATTGAGGTTACCGGAGGCCCAATTACCCCCTTCCGCAGTCTCCCCAATCCCCGAATCCCCCACAATCCTCAAATTTCTAATTCCCAAAAGGCCGGTAACGCACTTGTAACGCCTCTGGTGTTCCAGGTCTCCATGGGCGACGCCGATTGCTTACTATCAGGTGATCCGTCGGCCTGTTTACCGGCTTATCCCATAAAAAAATAAACAAATATTGTTGAATTGTTTTGTATGCAATAGCTTGTTATTATATTGTAGAAAGTCGAAAACATCAGGCAATTTGAGTTCTTAACAAATATACCGTTAATCGAATTGAGAATTAAGTAAAATCTATTACTATTATTACTTACGCTTTCAGTATCATCGATGACGTAGACTCCGTTGGAGTTTACAGCAACGAGTACTGGGATGTCCTCGTGTGTGAGCAAACTCGTCAGACTCCGTACTGGCTGCTCAATCTGACCTTGGAAGAACGCAGCCCTGAGGATATGAGAAATAACATAAACGTTCATAATTCCGGTTGTTTCTTGCTTTACTTCGTACATATCCTTAATGAGTATTTCAAGATCACTTTTTTTTTAAGGGGGGAAAATCATCGAATGACTGCTCCCGCCTCGGTGAGGCGGGAGGGAATGTCAGACTCTTACTGACTAAAAACCACCCCGTTCCTTCTCCTGCACGTCGAGCCGGAGCCCCGGTAGCCCGTTAGGTTCTCCGCGACTCCGAATCGGCATCGGCCCTATTGGGCCCCATCTGTGGTGGTCTGATGGCTCTTTGAGGCGCGCGCGGAACGCGACGCGCCGTACGCTCGGGTATTTCAAGATCACTAAGCCTAATAGGTGAAACGACCAGACTATCCAAATCAAATGAAGATTGGTAATTCAACGTCGATTCTTTTTTTCATCTTTTATTTTTTAGGAACTTTTTCCATCATAACTTAAATGTATTTAACAAATTTTAAAAAACAAAATACATTTATAGAACTAACTGCCTCGTTGGCCGAGTAGTCGCAAGGGGTCTCGGGTTCGATTCCCGGGTCGGGCATAGTACTACTGGTTTTTTTTACAGTAGTAGCACGGAGTCTGGAATTGTGCCCGGTATATGGCAATAGGCTCACCCCCTATTACATGGGACTCAAAACATAAACAGTGAAAAGTGGGTGTTACATTGTACAGTGGTATAATGTGCACCTCTGCCAACCCCTTCGGGGCAGAAGTGTACATTACGGCACTTAATGCCAACTCCGTGCTACTACTGAGATTTTTTAAAAAAGCCCAATAATACTTTGCCCGACCCGGGAATCGAAGCCGAGACCCCTTGCGAGAGTCGCAATTGCGACCACTCGGCCAACGAGGCAGTTCTTTTTACTGTCCAACAATAATATTATTACAGAGTACTGAACTACTGACCCATAGGTAGGCAGTGTCCTTGTATGCGCGAGGTACTTGTGTCGCAGTTTGCGAGGCGGTGCTGCAGGTGGACGCTGTGCTTGCTCCAGCAGCCGAGCTTCTGGACTTCCCTTCCGACCAGCTGGCAGTAATGCGGCCCAGCGACCTGACCGCGCGTGCTTCGGTAAATATTTGTCCTGTTGTGCCCTGAAGCGTAAAATCAAGGCTATAAGGAAGAAAGAAGACTTTTGTTTGTCAGAATTGAGAATTTCTAGAAGTGTGTGTGAGCTGTGTTCGTTTATTACTGACTAGCTTTTACCCGCGGCTTCGCTCGCGTCACAAAAGGATAAAAAGTAGCCTATGTGACATATACCAATACAAACAGCGCCATCTATACCAATACTTTTGTTTTCCCTCGGGAATATCAATTTTTTTCGGGATAAAAAGTACCCTATTATTTAATCCAGACTACTAACTTTACGTCTGCAAATTCAATGCAATCGGTTTAGTAGTTACGGCGTGAAGTCGGAACAAACAAACAAACAAAGAAACTTACTTTCCGATTTATAATATTAGTAAGGATTTGATTTGTTACTCGATGCAGAAATTCGTAATTTGGATCTAGTTAGTACAATAGGGATGATGACAGGGTATGAAAATTAAAAATCTAATTAGTCCATCAGTTAGATAATGAAAAAATATTAGACACGTATTTTTTTATTTTGTCGTATAATAAAATGATACTTAGATATAACGAAACAAAGTTTAGGAGTGGGGGCTAAAACGTCATTTCTACGTATAAAATGTACATAGAAGTGACGTCACGCGGCATTTCAAATAAATACATCGTCGAAAGTATTAGTTTCTGTAAGAAAATAAAAAATATGTGACCAATGATTTAAAACAATCTATCAGACGGACATTAAAATAAAAATTAGGCATCTTAACAATAGGGTATTGTAATTACTAGGTAGTTAAAATCAAAATCAAATACAAAGATTTCTGATCTGAACTTGATATAACTAGTTGGTTGTTGGCCAAATAACGTAAGTGTGTTAATCACGAAATATATTTGAATATCGACGTCTTACCTTAATAAAAAAACTGAGTAATTTCATACCATTTTTAATATTTTTACCTTGTAAAAAATTTTTTTATAATATCTATCTTGAGACATACTAAATGAACTAAAATCGCGGCTTACTCACGTGAATGTACTGAGAAAAGCTCTACTAGTTTCGAGCCACAGAGGGGTTCTTCCTCATGAGCAGCGTGCGCGGTCGCGGCGACGTCGCGCAGCCTACTCGCTATACTTAGTAGAGCTTAGAATAATACTGAGTATAAGCCTACTACTTAGTAGAGCTTTTCTCAGGTGCTGGGGTACGCCAAATGTTCGTGAACGGACACCGTCGATTGGAACTGGTCAGCTCCAGACTGTATCATTTTATTTTATTATCCTCAAGGTTATTTTCTTTTTCAGTCTTTCTGACTGGATTTAGGTGTTGCATTGTTCTCACATAATCGAACCAATAAAACTATGTAACTAGAGAATTGTATTGTAAAAGATTGAAAAAGAGTAACCTATGGAGTTTCTTGCTCGTTCTTCTCCATAGGAATCTATGCCTTGGAATGAGCAACTAGCTTCACTTATAAATTTTTGTTGTTTGACGTTCAAAAGTGCCATCCTGGTCTAATTGAAATAAATGATTTTGACTTGACTTGACACAGTATATTCACGTGAGTAACCCGCGACGTTTAGTTAAGCTAATAAAAACTGATTAATATCATACCATTTTTATTTTTTTTTACTTTTACGACGTATAACTTACCTGAAAAATCTCGCCGTGTGTCGATGTGGGTCGTACGGTCCCAGCTGTATCCTAGCTTGTAGTCCTCCCAGCATGACTGCTTGAGCACTCTCAAGAGGATACCTTCCAGTAACGACGTTGTGACGAGCTTCTTCGTACAGCAACTCTTGAATTCGTGAGTCCCTGCAACACAAATAAGTTCGTTTCAATACTTGGCAGAGGTGCACATTACAGCACTTAATGCCACTGTATAAACAATGTAACACAAATTTTTCACTATTTATGTTATGAGTCCCATGTAATCGCGGGTGAGCCTATTGCCGTATACCGGGCACAATTCCAAATTCCGCGCTACCAATAAGATTTTTTTAAAAACCCCAGTAATACTTTGGCCGACCCGGAAATCGAACCCGAGCACACACACCGACAACCACTTGTACTTGGACTCGCACTTGCGACCTCGGACATCGAGGCAGTTTCTCTTTTACTTTCAATACTTTTAGATCTATAATTTAAAGAACATGCAAACAGACGGACTTCGGTCATACTTTGAATGTTCCACTTTATATCATTCTGTATCTGTATTTATTGAAATAGGGTAAAGGGTTACTGTGCAATCTCCAATTTTTTTAATCCTATACTATTGTATAAAGCGGAAGAATTTGTTTTTTTGTTTGTTTGTTTGAACGCGCTAATCTCCGCAACTACAAGTCTGATTTGAATAATTCTTTTTGTGTTGGATAGCGCATTTATCGAGGATGACTATAGGCTATAAAACATCGCGCTAAGACCAATAAGAGCTGAGCAGAGTGTATGAAACAGTGCGAAAGTAGCTAGTTATGGAATATATTCACAATAAACTTACTTAATTCCTTCTTCTAAATGTTTGGGAAAGAACACGTTCCTCTGTAGTCGTAACACGGGCTGGTCACGGTTGAGTCTCGACTCTGAAGCGTGACCGTAACGATGTACCAACTTCTGCCAGTTTGCCCAGAACCTCCACGGGCAATGATGAGGTTTTAACTGAATTTCTGGAATAGGCAGTACGTATTTCGTATTGAGGGACAGTTTGAAGAATCCAACTACGACTAGAGCGAAATGGAAGACAATTATTGAGGGCAGGAAACGCAAAAGGTGTGTCAAGTGTGGGAGAGCCATGCTTCGGCACGAAAGGGCCGGCTCGACCGAAGTGATACCACGGCCTCACAAAAAAACCGGTTACCGGAGGCCCAATTACCCTCCCCTTCCCCAATCTCCCCAATTCCTGAATCCTCAACGATCCTCAAACTCCTAATCCCCAAAACGTTGTCGCGAAGAACCTAACGGGTAACCGGGGCTCCGGCTCAACGTGCAGGAGAACCTATTCACTCGGGCCTTGAAGACTTCCAGGTTATACCGTTCAAGAAATACAGACTCTGGCAAAGAATTCCACTCTTTAGCAGTACGCACAAGGAATGTTATGTTATAGATAAGCAGTGGATGATAACTTCGTATTAATTCGGCAGCTATAGATCAGCAGTTGCTTGCACTTACCTAACAAAGGACTGCACATCCACAAAGCAAAAACGTTAGCAGCTAAACTTCTAGTGCTCGGCTGCGAGAGCCCTAACTCCTCAGTAGCCAGCAGGGCATTAAGGAACCGAGCTGCTGTCACATGTGATGGTATTTCTTCAGAGCTCATCTCCATCATGATTGCGGTACGGGACATCAGGTAGATACAGGTGACGGGGTTCGAGGAAACTGTTGATGATGAGGCTGTACTGCCTGATGAACCTGGTAAAAGCATTGCGATGTGAGTATTTTTATAACCGACTTCAAAAAAGAAGGAGGTTCTTTGATCTGGTTGTACACCGTGAGTGATATTGACACGGTAATGCGTAAGTAATTTCATATTAATGTGCATAAAAACGCGTGCGTACGCATAAACACACGCACGCGTACGCACACGGAAAAAAATAGTTGCGCTGCAGCGCAACCGATAGTAGTATTACGGTGGCAGTGGACTTTTGACCTTTGACCGTACATATGTTTGTCCGCGTTTATCTAGCGATTGGCTGAACCGATTTTGATGCGGTTTTCAGAAAACTGTTTGTTACACTTAGGTGAAGGTTTTAGTAGATTAATTAACGGACCCCAAAAAAAAGAGGTGGAAGGTCTAACCATTCCGATATAAGTTTTTTATTAACGGACTTCAAAACAAGAAGGAGCTTCTCACTTTGCACGACTGCACGGTTGGCGCGTTGGTTGGGCAACTGGCTGCCGCGAAACGTGGCGTGCTTTCGATTCCCGCACGGAACAACGCTTTGTGTGATCCACAGATTGTTGTTCCGGGTCTGGGTGTGATGTGTATGTGAACTTGTATGTTTGTAAACGCACCCACGACACAGGAGACAATCCTAGTGTGGGGCAAAGTATTTTTTTAAACAAACAAACAAGCTTTAACCTGTATGTATGTGTGTATGTATGATAGTGCGCGTTTCTCACACGAAATCTTATCCTAATTAATATCCTAAATCTGTTTACACACAAACATTTTCTGAAAACTGCATCAATATATCTAAACAAATATTGATGCAGTTTTCAGAAAATGTTTGTGTGTTTTGTTTTTTTTTTTTTTTATAATTGATGGGGCAACGTTTGACCACTATCTCACCTGTTGGTAAGCGATGATGCGGTCTACGTTGGAGCACGTCGTCCCATAAGCAACCTATTCACTCGGGCCTTGAAGACTCCCAGGTTATACCCTTCAGGAAATACAGACTCTGGCAAAGAATTCCACTCTTTAGCAGTACGCACAAGGAAGCTTGAAGCAAAGCGCTTCGTGCGTGTGGGCGGAACATCTACCATGAATCGGTGACGCTTCGCGGATTGTCTTGTGGTACGATGATGGAAAGGACAAGGGGGAATCAAGTTGTGCAATTCCCCCGCACACTCCCCGAAATGTATCCGGTAGAAAACCGAAAGGCTTGCAACCTTACGCCTGTGTTCGAGGCTTTGAAGCCGATCCTTCACAAGCGCATCATCGTCGATGAGCCTCCTGGCACGCCTCTCAATGTGCTCTAACGCGTCCAGCTGATATTTAGCCGAGCCGTCCCAAAGATGAGAGCAGTACTCCATACAGGACCGAACCTGTGCTTGGTACAGGCTCAGCAATTGTTTCGGCGTGAAGTACCGTCTCACCCTCCAAAGGACACCCAACTTCCTACCAGCCAGTTGCGCTTTTGACTCTATATAGGAGCCAAAGTTGAGCGTGGGCGTCAGAGTTACACCAAGAAGCTCAAGACGATCGGTTATCGGTACGGATACATTCCGGAAAGTAGGAGTCAGCGGAAATTGACTCCGTTTGGTGGAGAATAGACACGCCTGGGTCTTGCTAGCATTGAACCTAACCAAGTTGGCGTCACCCCAGTCGGACACCGCCTTCAAAGTCGAGTTCAAACGTTCGACCATGGATTCTCTTAAAGACTGGATCTGTGTTCCGCTAGTCCGCGCACCGGACACATACCTTTCAACAACTGTGCTGTCATCTGCATACCCAAAGATACCGGGCTTAAGCAGGTCGTTTATGTGCAGCAAAAAGAGTGTCGCTGAAAGTACTGACCCCTGAGGGACGCCGGCATTAATACCGAATTGGTCAGACGAGCAGCCATCGATGACTACTCGTATTGACCGATCCCTCAGAAAGTCTGCTATCCATCTGCACAGACCAGTAGGAAGTCCATATGCAGGAAGCTTGCCGATTAGACTGTCGTGCCATACCCTGTCAAAGGCCTTCGAAATATCGAGGGAGACTGCTAGTGCCTCTCCGTGCCCCCTCTATGGCCTCGCTCCATATGTGAGTGGCATACGCAAGAAGGTCCCCAGTCGATCGGTTACGTCGAAACCCGTATTGCCGATCGCTGAGGAGATCGTTACCTTCAAGGTATGCCAGGAGTCTATTGTTAAGAACACGTTCCATGCTCTTACAGAGTATGGACGTGACCGAAATAGGGCGGTAATTGTTAGGGTCGGCACGACTACCTTTTTTAGGCACAGGCTGTACGTTGGCCAGCTTCCAAGCAACCGGTACTAGACCCGTCTCTAAGGAAAGGCGAAACAGACGTGTCAAGATTGGAGACAACTCAGGCGCACAGGTTTTTAAAACCAGGGCTGGGATTCCGTCGGGACCACTGGCCTTGTTCACGTCCAGATCGCGTAGCGTCCTATATACCTCCCTCTGTCGAATGCGAATTTGCGACATATTCGTCTTGCATACGCTATTAACAGAAGGAGGCAAGGCGCCACCAGTGTCAAGACGCGAAGACTCCGCAAATAGAGAAGCAAATAGATTTGCTTTCTCTACCGCAGTGTGAGCCAGCGTCCCGTCAGACCTCAGGAGCGGAGGAAGTGAGGAGCGACAGAAGTTCGATTCAACCGCCTTGGCCAGGGACCAAAAAGCTTTACTTCCCGCTGGGTAGGAAGCTAGTTTGTTCCCTATACGGCCAATGTGGTTAAATCGAGCCATCCGTAATGCCTTTTTGCATGACTTGGCAGCCCGATTAAAGGCTCTCTTCTTTTGATGAATGTCATCAGCCCTACGGCGCCTGGCATCCGCCAATGCCAAGTATGCCGCCTGCTTTTGCGCTTCGGCACGTCCGCAGTCGGCATCGAACCAAGGACGGGTCCCACCAGAGAATGCCACGTCCGAGAATGGAATGTAGTATTCCATGCCCTGGCGCAGCACCCCCGTTACGGCTTCCGCACAAGCTGACGGGTCATCAGAAGAGAAGCAGACAGGCCGCCAAGGATAGGAAGCGAAAAAAGATCGCATCCCATCCCAGTCCGCTGACTTGTATCGCCACATCCGCCGAGGTCCTCTGGGACTCGGATCTGGTGGGGAGTGTGTCGATACAGATTTCACCAGACAGTGGTCAGAGCTACCTAGAGGTGATGAGACTGTCACCGAGTAGCGGTCTGGATCAGTTGTCAGCAGAAGGTCTAAGCAATTGGCAGTGTGCGTATCGACATCGGGCACCCTTGTGGCTTCCTGGACCAGCTGGGTCAGGCCAAGCGAAAGCGCAAGCTTACGCATTTCCCTTCCAGCATGGTCGGTGCACTGGTATGGGAATAACCACTCCTGATGATGAGCGTTAAAGTCCCCCAGTAACACCAACTGGGCCGAAGGGTACGCCTGACGAGCCGCATCCGCCGCTTCGCCGAGGTATTGCGCTAATCTGGTCGCCTCCAAATCTCCGCTGTGCGACCGATAGACACAGGCATAAAGAATTTTCTCCGTGCCTATGTCCACCAGTATCCAGAGAGCAGAAAAGCTTGGGTCTTCAAGGTTTCGGAGACGCCGGTAACAGATGCCGTCTCGGACGTATACGCATACACCTGCATGCGGAACAAAATTGTGCTCCAGGGAAAAACCAGGGTAGTTCAGGTAGGATACGTCCGACGGGCACCTGATCTGGGTCTCCGAGAGAAACAAGAGTGTAGGGTTCTCGGTCTCGAGGTGGTGATGGACCGCATTGACATTAGAGTGCAAACCTCGAATATTTGAGAGGTGCACTATGAAGGAGAGGGAGTGCAGCCGCTGTTGAACCCTTTTCTTATTTCTCAGTGTAAACAGATTTAGGATATTAATTAGGATAAGATTTTAACTAACCCCAAAAAATAGGGGTGGAGGTTGGTTTTTTTAAACATAATTTATAAAATAATTAAACCGTTGTAAATAGGGTAACTCTTCTCGTTGGTACCTAAGTATCTTTTCAGACCTGGTAATGGTGGAGATATAGCGCTGGAAGAACTGCCGCCGCTGGTAATAGGTTCCGTGGTACTGAAAGAACCCGCTGCGATACTGCTCGACCCAGTCTGGTTGGAACAACTGCTGAGGTTGGATCCTGTAATAGATACGATGTACAAATAATATTATAGTATATACCTCGTTCAAAAGATGGTACTGGTGATTCGACAAAGTAAACTGTTCAGCTTTATTGTGTTATTATTTGTAAATAGATTTAATGATCACAGATACCAATGCTTAAGTCAGATTTATAAGCTGTGGGTATATTTGTAATGTTCTTCTTTAATCATAAAAATGTGTACCTAGGTACTTACTGTAGTAAGTAATTCATTAGGACTTCAAATATGAAACTTTGGTATTCGGTACTATAAATTGACCATGGTTATTTTAATTGAATAATTACTGTTTCCCAAAATAACTAAAAATCGCGGGTTACTCAAGTGAATGTACTGAGAAAAGTTTTAGTTTCGAACCACAGAGGGGCTCTTCCTCATGAGCAGCGTGCGCCGTCGCGGCGATGTCGCGCAGCCTACCTTGAGCTTTTCTCAGTATATTCACGTGAGTAACTAGCGATTTTAATTTAATTTAGTATGTCCCACGATAGTTATTATACAAACTATTTTTCCAGTTACAAATGAGTAGTTTCCTGGGTCAAAAATAAATTATTTAGATTTTTCAGTTCAATTAAATATTGAAAAATAGTTACACTTTCATTCATTGATTTGCCGATATACTTAATTTTCGATTTATTCTCGCATTTTCTTTAGATATAAGTGTGCTATTTGACGCGAAAATATGATGACGTCATAAGCTAGTATTTCATACAAAATTCATAGAACAGTATCGTTTTTGACGTTTCGATAAAAGTATTGAATTTGACTAGTTGTCAACTACCGTATTAATTAACATAGCAAAGCGAGTCATCCGCACTTACCCATAACACTTTTCTCAAGGGAATCAGAACTATTGCTCTCTTTGGAGTCCGGCTGTAAAGGTTTGTGTGGGTCATGTTTGTCCCAGTCACTGTGCCGGCCTAGTGGACTGTAAGACAGGTGGGGCAATCTCTGGGATACGGAGTACAGGTGCGCGTTCACTTCAGCCTGTAACTTCTGACTTTGGACGCTGTAGTATTCTTCACGGGAGCGAAATTCACTGTAAAGAGTAGTAGGACATTAATTGTAATGTTGACAATTTGTACGTTATTTTAATCTATATAAATAAAAATTAATTCTAGTTCGTTAGTCCCGCTAAAACTCGCGAACGGCTAAACCAATTAGGTTAATTTTAATTTAAAAAATTTCGTGGAAGTCCACGTAAGATTTAAAAGGTGAGAATTTTTTTATAGGCGTTACAAAGTTCGCCGGGTCAGTTAGTTATTGATAAAATTAAATAAAAGGAGCATTAATGATTATAAAGCAAGTAAATACTTAATGTTCTACCACTTACTTGTATTGATATTCAGCTTGCATGGGATATCCACGCCTGGAATAATCTACAGGTATTATTGTAATATAATTTCCACTGTTCTGGACATTTGGATTCTCTCCGTAAGCGCCCATATCAGATTGATGTTCCATTTAGCTTAATTTTCCCGTTATTTATTTATTTACTGAAAAACCATTTTCTTCAGTGATTTCCGGCACGACAGGATATCGATCGTCCACACTTCGCGCTTTTAATTTGGGTTGCCAGGTGGATGAACATTCAGATATTGAAATAATACATCATAGTAAAATCTGTAGCGACTTAACATGATTAATTGAGTTTGTTTGTTTAGAATGCGCATATTTATAATAATATTACGCGAAAAAGGCAGCCAATTAATTCATTAAATCGATCAATCCAATTTAATAATCCGTGGAACTGGGTTATTTTTCTCGTTTTCATTCGTTCATTTTTGACACTGACGGTGCAACTGTCAAAAGCCATTTTTGACAGTTGCACCGTCAGTGTCACTTGTCATTTGAGTTTTAATACGTGTTTGTTTTGAAATTAAATTCAATTAATTTCATGGTTAGCTGACGTTGTTTACCATTATTACTTTAAAAACAACTATTATATAGCTGCTTTTAAATCTCCAAAGGCCCTTACTCTAATTGACGTAAGTTACCAAGTTAAATATAACCTTATGATAAATCAAAACTTTACGTTCCAACCGCTTATACTTATAATTTTGATTATTTTTTAGCGTGATATCATCATAAATAGTCAATTTACTTATCAATCTTCGTTTTCTTATCAGCAGGTACAAATATTCAAACAGTTATCACAGTGCGGATGGAGGCTAAACTTAAGGAATACCGGGCACTAAGACGCCGTAAAGAACTGATTGAGAACGCTAAACAGAAGATCGAGGAATCTAAAGAAAAATTAGTGAACTTTTTAGTGCCAAAAATAATTCGAGACATGGGGAAAGTTCATGACGATGAAGTCTTATTGGTATGTTTTTAAATTTGGAACTATTGCATCTTTTAATGTAATAATTATTTTTGAAGGTTGTCCTTGACCAAACACAAGAGTTCATCATTCAATAAATATTGATGCAATTATCATAATCTCTGTGTGTGTGTGTATGTGTGTGTTTGTTCGTTTGTGACTCTAAAACAAAAATTGCTGAAGGGATCAGGATAAAATTTGGGACAGGGCTACATTGTGATCTGGAGTAACAAATAGACTACTTTTATCCCATGCCAATGTGGGTAAAAGCACTGACAGAAGCTAGTATTTAATAAATATTGAATTACTTTCCTAATTTTCAGATGGAGAATGAGCAGCCACCACCAACAGACAACATAGTAGAAGAAATCAACGACGTAGTTTCTGAAGTGAGCGAAGTGGAATCATTTGAAGAGCCTGAAGAACCATGGAGACATTGTCTGATTAGATGGACAGTATACTTATGTATATGGGCAGTATTTTGGGCAGTGTTCATTCACCTACAGTTTGGTGCGGTGTACTTCGTAATATCCGTATTGATAGGTATTTATCTTAACACTCGGACAAGACCGAGAAAGAAAGGAGAAGTGTCTGCGTATAGTGTGTTTAACCAAAACTGTGTTAGTATTGATGGGACTTTAAAAGCGGAACAGTTTGAGAGGGAGATACGGTATGGTGCGGGTACTGTTAGAAGTTTTTAAGAAGTGATATATAGTATGTATATCTTTTAAATGTATACTTATTACTTAATGGATCTCGGACAATACATCCTGTTAATGTCATATTTTACTAAATAAAACTTTATTTGTTTGTTAACACTGAACGGAGAAAAGGACTTATCATCATAATCATCATCATCAACAGCCTGTTTTCGTCCACTGCTGGACATAAGCCTCTCCAATGGCACGCCATTGGAGGAAAGGACTTATAAGGAATGTGAAAACCTTTTAAGATTACTATATTAATTAGACTAATATAGAAAGATGCATCAAAAATGTTGATATATGAATATTTTATATAATAGATAATTTATACATTAATGTTTGTATCATGTAGGACATTGAATGTGATTCAAATCAAATCAGGTATCTCTGTTAATCGTGCAAAAAAACTCAACGGATTTTTATAATGTTTATCTCATACGTGACTGTATTTACTTTTTTTAGTTAAGTTAATTAGATCCTATAAATATATTGTCTTTAAGGCAAACCTGTAAAAATATTCAGAATAGTTTATGTCAGGTGTTTAAAAATGTAATTAAAATAACTTATGTATTTTGAAGCCTTAAGCCTAAGGTATAAGGTTGACTTTCGTTAAGCATTTGGCTGGAGTCTAAAAGACCCATTGCAATGACGTACTAGTTCTAATAAAATATTTCAGTTCAAGCCATTAAATTGTGAAAAGTCATTATGATAGAATTTTACTAAATAAGAAATCTTGTCAGATTTTCTATGACACTATCTGCATTATAGACAGATTTTGTGCATTTTTTATGATTTTGTGGATTGAACTGTATTTAACCGATGATCAGCTAATTATGACGTGTAAGTGTATGTATAAGTTTTTTAATTTATTGTGTGCACATAATTTATTAAGGCTTTGACTGCCAATAGAAAACTGTTGTCAAAGACAAATCGTCTGTTAACGTCGGTCGGCGTTTAACATGTTAATAAAATTGATATTTTTGGCACTTTTATAATGCTGAAATGATAATATTTTAATAAAATCATTTTAAACTATTATGCGTTTTTTTTATTATAAAGTATTTTCAGATGTCGTCAGTAAATAGACCAGATTGAGGTAACATAATCTAGAGGTCTAAGCCCAAAAATGATTGTTTTTTCGTAATCCCCCTAGACCTAGACACCCGGTTATGACATATTTGCTAATTGAGGGATGGGAATGACTGGAAGAAGTGGACCCTATTTTTGGTATCGAAGGGTGAATTTAGATGGTTTGAATAGGACAGTGTTGTGTTGGTGGTAATATGTATTTCAGTAGGCAGCTTAAATAGAAAGAAAAATCAGTTCATTATAAATTATATTTCAATATTAATAATCACATTTAGAAATTGACAACGAAAATATACTTATTATAAATTTTACAATCAGAAATAAACCATAATTCAATATAAATACAGTTCCAAATTCAATATAATGGCATAGAACATTCTGTTTTATAAACATCTTGGTAACTTTAAATTCTATGAAAAACATGGCTTGTAAAAAAGTTAATATGGAAACAGTACTTTTGTCCAACTATAAAAGAAAAAAAGTATTTTGAGCTAAATATTTTGTACATACATTTTTGAGCTTATTAAATAAAAAATTGTCATGAAAACTAAACATGGCGGAAAATTTCTCCGTATTGCATTTAAAGCCTAAACAGTTCTTTGTACTTCCATCAAGAGTTATGATCAGACGTCTAAAAACGTCCAATTCCATTATAAATAGTAAGATTATTTTGTGTAATAACTTTATCAGACCGTCATTATATTACGGGGATGCCCGACTGCTTTCCAGTTCGACGGGAGCCCTCGGGCAACTATAACACAGTGACGTGAGTAAGTCGCATAGACATGAACTGACATTTTGTTGAATTTATTTATCCATAAATACACAAGTACCTATCTACATGGTCAAATACGTGAAGAAACAAGATAAATAAGTAAATCAAAATGAAAATGAAACTGATTAAAAAATAGTATTAAGTGTAGTCAAATTTTCACATGTAGCGACCAGCGACTATAGCATGGTTCCCTCGTCTAGTTATTAGCTAACCTTTGAAATATCACAATGGCAAACCAACGTCTAAATAAACAATATTTTGTGACAAATATACAGAAAATATCTAACATTAAATTCCAATATAATCCTAATTTTATTTTCTATCTAGTACCTAGGTATAACATTTTTCAACATGGTAACTCTTTAGGTCGATTCAATTCTAAATAATAGTGATAGGTATATATAAAAAAAGAATAATAAGTATTCAGTACATTCATCTGTATAAAATGAAGGAATGTTTTGATAGGCGAGAAATTATATTTTAATGCTTTTTGCAACATTAAACTGCGAACCTAATGCCGGAATACTGAAACGTTACTCAATTTTAAGTCGTGCTCAAATATCGTGCCATCTCTGTCATTTTACAAAGAATTTGTAGAGATAGAACTATACTTAAGCGCGACTTAAAATTGAGTAGCGTTTGAGTATTCCGACATAAGTCTCTTACTCTGCAAGACTTACGTTAGCACATGATCATAATGGAATTTCAACTTTATACTTTTGTGATAACGTGTAAAATCAATTATACACTGAGTATATAACATTGATATTTTGTGTAGCTGCCTATGTATTTTGTTCATATTATGAAAAACATACAATTTATTATGATATTGGACTAGGGAGTACCTATCTATTTATTTATTTCGGCATACTTTAACAAGTATATAATTATAATAATGTAACATAATACGGCATTTATTATGCATAATCACAATTAACTTGTTCATACAGTTACACAATCTCTTTAAACTTATAAATAAATAATACATAAATAACTAGATATATTATTAATAATGGCACAATACTTCTAATTTATTATTTTTATTTATCGTTTCAAATGGACAATATAAGGCACCATTTCAGTATTTACAAATTGTATAGAGAACAATATGTTATGACCAGTTTCACAGTCATTATCCAAATAAACGGAAAAAATTACCAATAAGGTAGCCAAAGTTCACCAACTTCAATAGGGTAGTTTCCTAAATTTTATTTTAATGTCCGTCTGGTACATTAATTTAAAACTTTAGATTCTTATTTTTTCTTTTCTCACAAAATAAATACTTTTGACGATATATTCATTTGAAATATCGTGTGACGTCACAGCGTGCCACATTTTGTAGCACGTTATGACGTAACAACCTCCCACTCCTAAACTTAGCGCCATTTTATTTATGTATTGCAACCTAATACGAGAAAATAAAAAAATACGTGTCTAATTTTTTTTATTATCTAACTGACGAACTAATTCGATTTTTAATTTTGGTACCCTGGAAACTACCCAATTGAAGTATCAATCAATTTCCAATTTTATTTCAGAAGCAATAAAGTTGGAAATCTCAACTCCTGTGAAACTGGCTGAGGTTGGTAAGGCTGGTAAGGATGAGAACTGCCTATTTATCCAAAGTCAGCTCTACTTCCGTCCCTGTCTTTCACCTATGCTTTAACATATGTGAGACAGAGACATAAATACTAGCATAAACAAGCAGAGGATTAGCCAGTATAAATAAAGTATGTGTAGAAAAATATACAACATGATTTGTTAAAGAGCGCACAAAAATGTGCTTTTATAAGCCATACAACAAATAATATACAGGGGCCTAACACATTTTCCATTAAAACTTTCGTCACAGATACTAAATTAATTATGTTTTCGGCTTACTCACGTAACTGTTTGACGAGGAACGAGGACCGAAGCCGAAAACATAATAATCAATAGAGAATTGTATTGTGAACCTGATTGAAAAAGAGTAAGCTATGTAGTTTCTTGCTCGTTCTTCTCTATAGGAATCCACACCTTGGAACGAAAAAATAACTTCACTTTTAATTTTTTTTTCAAAAATGCCTTTCTGGTCTAATTGAAATAAATGATTTTGACTTTGACTTTGAACATTTTCCATTTTTTCAGAAGTAGTAGGAAATGCGTGCATTTAGATGCTTTAATTTAATGAATGTGTGCATTTCTGACTATACCTCTATAATGAATTATGTTATAGAAGCGAAAAGTTGATGCTTTGTTGATGAAATGTCGTCATAGTTACGTTTAGCAGACCTTTGACCTTGAAAAGGTAGTCTGGAATTATCTGGAATTATGCAGACAGAGGGTTGCCACCTTTATTTTGGTATTTAAAGTACATTGACGATTATAGATAAGAAAAAAAGTACACAGTATAAAAGTACAAATTATTCTTATTTAGTATTATATAAAAAAAATATTGCTTTTTGCAGTTTGTATTAAATATCTTTACTAAACAATTGCATTTTTACTAGAAATTGTCTAAGTGGCGCTGGCGAGTGGCGAAATCGATAAATATCGATATCGAATCGATAAGTTTACCGAAAAATACTTACGACTTTAATAGAAATTAAGTTTGCAAAAACAAAGTATTTTCGTGTACTTTATTATTCTTACAAAGTATAGAGTACAATGACCTTAAATAACGTACAATACTTTATTATAAAGTACGGGTGGCAACCCTAGCAGACACCGCACTATTGACGAAGTTATCACAATAATATTTTGTCTGACTCAGGAAACCGACCCGAGATCTCTTACTCGGCAAGAAGGCAGTCAGTTTGTTATGGATGACATTCTAAACTTAATAAAAGAATATGAACTGACATAAAATATTCTAAACACGCATAAAACGAGAGACTATACTAAGGAATGTTGGTAACTAAATGCAATCAATAGGAAGCAACTTCATCAATGCATATTAAACTTTATCTTAACATCATTAAAGTCTAGTTTTGTTAGTTTTACAACGTTATTGTCGAATTGTTTGGGGCGTGGATTTTTATTTATAAATATGTCACCTTACTTACAAGCGTTGAAGTGTCTCACATAGCAATTAAGTTTATAATATTATCACATCTATAGCTTATTGATAAATACACACACTTTAAATTAATTTCTGGAATATTCCAGAAGTTCGGTTTAAAATGACATTAAAGGTTTAAAGTCAATAATAAACATTATTTATCCGGCAAGGGGAGTCGAACCAAAGACCTCTTATTCTGCACTATCTAAACATTTATAACCGCAACGTTTATCGTGTATAATAACTATCGTGAGACATCCAAATTTTGTTAAAATATACGACTTAAATTATCATATCTGTTTGAGTGCGCTCGACTAGTTTCAAGCCAGGACCAGGGCTTATAACCATGAGCAACATGCGCGACGACGTATGATTACGAGCCCCAGTCGTGGCTTGAAACGAGTCGACCTCGTGCGTATAATTAAGTAAGTCGCATATTCTAATTCACGTAGTATTTACAATTACCAATATTTAGTACAACAGTTTAATTGATTGGACAAACAACTTGATTCCTTATATTAAATTAGTAGGAATGAGTACATTACTTCTGAATATACCTATATCTACCCTTACTATAGTCGTCAATATATACAAATATTTGAAGAGTAAATATCTATTTGGTATAACCATCACATTACATACAAGATGGGGCATATTGGACCACCAACGCATGCCAAACATTGGTCAACTAACACCAACAATCACTACTTTCATTATACAACAGTGCTATAGGAATGTTGGCCCACCAACATTGGCATAATATACCTTTGCAACAATTGCATCGTCATCGTCAGTTCACTATAAAAATACGCCATAGAAAAGTTTAGTAATGACACGACACCTGTATAAAACAATCCTGTACTTCATTGATGACTAGTAGAAAAAATACTAAGTTTTCATTGTTGTTCCTACGACTAAGTAAAAAATCGCACCTCTATTTTTGATCGCAATGTTCACTCTTGTTTTAATAAAAAAAAAAAACTGACAATACTAAAGTAATATGCTACTTGTACTTAATTACAACATTGGTCTTACAATAACCAACTTCTATGTTACAAAAATAACCCTTACGTCCTAATAAATACGTCATTGTTTCGGACACACTTCAATCATTCGCTATAGGCGCTGGAGATCTACGGAATATACTGGGAAAAGGCAGTTTGTAGTAACCACTGCTTGGTAGGAACGGGTTGACGTCATTCGCCCGTTTCACATCGGGTAACAGGAACCCAACACTTAAAGCTATAATCATGTGCCACAGCGAATGCACAATTTTATAATTTTGTTCTGTTTGTAAGAAACCGTATGATACTAAACCTACAGTAACTAATATTAAACCTATGGGCATGTGTTTAAAGAAGTACGACCTAGGGAACTTGAGACTCCTATGTTTTCTATAATCTAGGTACCAGGAACTGAAGACTACTGATGTACCGACGGCGACAGGGAGTAGGAAGGAGACGAAGGAGTGCATGTTCCAAGTTGTAAGTAAAGCTATGACTATTGCACCTATAAGTTGTAGTGAGGAACGTATCCTCTCGTTTATAATGCTCATGGCAAGTAAGGTTACCCAGAAAGACATGAGCCCGCAGTAAAAGTCTCCAAACTGGAGGATGTTACCTCTAATGATGCAGTAGGCGACTTGAGAAGGCGCGTCGCACGCGTGGTAGAAAGTTGAGAAGATCATGGTGAAGGCATACATCATGGCTTCCGTGTAGTACAGTCGGATCGTCGCCACGTAAATTGAGAAGAAGAAGAGAATGTTGCTCAGAGTTAGGAGTAGTACAGAAAGAAGCATGTACGCTCTGCTATCCATTCTTGAGTTATCAGAACAGTCCCAACCTGGAATTGAGAATCAAATAATTAATATTTCATGTAAGTTGGATTATGTAAGAAAGATGTAGGTAAATATAGAGAACGATTTACGATTTCGTAGTATAATATAAAAATAAATCAATCATCAATATATTCTGGTTTCGAACCCATTTAGACGATAGCGACCACTCAATCGATTGCATTAATTAATACATTGAATGGGTTATCAGGGACTAATTTCAAGTAAAGTTACAAAAATATTTGCACGAACTTACTTCCGTATCCAGAAACGCATGAGCAAAATGACATCATCAGGGCTCCGAACGTGTTAACCAAACAGTTGCCATGGTTACTGCACTTCCCAGAGACACAAGACGTTGAGGAAACCGTCAATACGGCGGTTGCATTGCACTCTGTCGTACCCAGACGAGTCTCATTCGTCCCAACTACTGAATCATCAAATTCCTTCTTCCCATCAGCATCTACATAATACTTCGTATTGTTAGCCCCAATTCGGCAAGGACAAACAATCTGGTCGCAGAACAACCGAAGAGTTACGTACCAAGTTCCACTATCAGGGAACGGAATTAACGTCTTGTCGTATATCGAGTCCGAGTCCGTACTATTCAACACAAACAAAGCCGGCGTCACCCTGTCATTGTACCGGCAATGACCACTCTCCAATGGTATACTTGGGTGACCAATATCCACACAAACCACGACCTTGAAAAACTGGTTATCCTCAGTAAAGGCTAACAATGTTTCCTTTTCTGCCTCCCTCTTGTATCCCATGTAGTACTTAACATTCATAAGAAGACTCGTCGCTATTGATAGACTGCCTCCAATGTCTAAAAACTGATTGATTTTAAACCTAAACGTCTTTATTTCAGACGAAGTTAGATTGATGAGGCTCGTTGTGTCTTGGATGTCTGTTGTGGGCACACCGTAGTCGAAAGTGAAAAATCGACCTTTGTCGTCTCGCATAAAGTCTGTAACGGTGTGGTTAACTAGCTCGTCTATGTCTGTTCTCAAGAAATAAGATTCGCAGTCGGCGATACTGGATGAATTGCCATCTATAGGTCCTATGTGGATGTAGTGCCAGGCGTTCGGGTGAGGGATGAACGTGATAGTTTGAAAATTGTTTGCTCTTGGGTTGAAAGCACAGTGTATGATGTTTTCCTCAACTGTCGGTATAGATAGGGCCTGTACTCTAAAGAACAGTTCGTTGTCCCCTACGGAAGTGTTGACTATCGAGATATTGAGAGCAATCGGGTCGACTCTGTCAACGGACATACATTTGAAGAGAGCGGGCAAGTCGCCGTAATTTATCTCTGTTACACCATTATAACAATCTATCAACTCGATGTTGTCATTGCGTTTTACTTGTAAATCTGAGTACAGTATCGTCTGGCAGTTCGCGACGAGACCTGAAAATTAAAAATTAAACAGATATTTATTTTATCTATCGAAAGATGAAACAGTATCATAAAACTATTATAGTAAATAAACAATTCGAAAAGTTTAGTAGTATTCGGCGAAACGTGGTTGCTACCTACGTTATCGAAATCTGCTAGTGAGGCTGAGTCACGACATTTTTTATGAATACTATTTACCTACTCAATATGGACATGATTCAAGTGTGTTTTTGTACAGATAGACACAGACACAAGTAGGAAATAACAATACTGTCCGCCACACATCTTTTCAAGTTTTCCTCTTATTAAAGCTACTAGCTGTTACCCGCGGCTTCGCTCGCCTCACAAAAGGATAAAAAGTAGCCTATGTGACATAAGAATACACACAGCGCCATCTATACCAATACTTTTTTCCCTCGGGAATATCAAATCTTTCCAGGATACCCTATTATTTAATCAGGACTTCTAACTTTACGTCTGCAAACATTCAAAGCAATCGGTTTAGTAGTTACGGCGTGAAAGCGGACAAACAAACTCACTTTCCAATTTATAACATTAGCAAGGATATTTAACAATAAAATTTACACTAGGTAAATTCATTAAGATCGTCTATAAGTTTATTATTTTTATACCACTGAGGTAACAAACAAGTTCGACCCGTCTCGCCTGTTGAAAGTTGAAAAGGACTTCGATAATACTTGATTTTTTATTGATAATTGATACTTGATAAATTGTATCATAGGAATAACTTTGAATATTAGACCATAATTCGTCCATACTAAAAACTGTCAAATATCAATTGTATTCTACAGTTAAGAATCATCGCTTAAATTTGACATTTGATAGTTTTTAGTATGGAAATATTGTCAAATTAATAGATCTTCTGGGACCAATGAAATTGCTCTTTTGTATGAAATACGAATTTAATATTAAAATATTATATTACATTATTCCTTATTTAAAATTTATCTGGCGTTGGGAAAATCGGCGTTTAGACAACAATAATGCGACGGAGACAGAATCGACCTAGAAATAGACTAACACTGCAATATCGCACACGATTCACATTAATGAGAGATGTAACCATCAATATATATACATCACAAAAGGGACAAGATAAATCTAAATAGCATTACACTCGAAGCTTTTGTACGTATCATCACGACTGCATACAATTGTCACAGGATGTCGGCAGTCGAACAATCACGTAACGAGGTCACGCACTGGCTTCGAGCGGGATCACACCGCGTCGAGTTTAAACTCATGCGTATGACCGTATATTTAGTTTAAACTCAATAATATGTATATTAGCGGTGAATGATTTTTGTGCTTGTAGTATTTCGTTTTAGTTTGAATGTATTAATTCGATTGTTATCGCTTTAGGCTTTAGTATGCAAATCATTGATAAGTTTTTAACGCATTTTAGTGACATTTGTTTAGTTTATCGATTTCTTTTCTTTTTAATCTCGTTTTATGAAATTCTCTGTAGGTACCTTTATATAGGCTTATTTATAGTGTCCTTACTATTCTTACTAATATTATAAATCTGAAAGTGAGTTTGTTTGTTTGTTTGTTTGTTCCACCTTCACGCCGTAACTACTCAACCGATTGCTTTGAACTTTTGCAGGCGTAAAATTAGAAGTCCAGACTAAATAATAGGGTACTACTTTTTAACCCGGAAAAATTGATATTCCCGAGGAAAAACAAAAGTATTGGTATAGATGGCGCTGTGTGTATTGGTATATGTCACATAGGCTACTTTTTATTCTTTTGTGACGCGAGCGAAATCGCGGGTAAAAGCTAGTATTACATATTATCTTAAAGCTGTTGCCTTCTCCCTCATGTTGATAAATCAAATATTTTATTATAACATTTAGTTTTTTTTAGTCTTGGCGGTTTAAGGACTTAGGCAGCCTTTTTCAAACAGATCTGATTTTAGTGTAAAAAAATAATTAGCATAATTATAAAATAAGTCAATATTACTAGAGTCGATTTTATTATGTTTAGGATTAGGAAATAATTGATATCACAATAAAAAGTCTGAAAATCAAAGTCTGCTACAGTAAAATTCTACTACTTATACTTTTTTTGTTTTTTACACTTTTTAATCTATACTTAATCGCGATCACTTATTAGCGACAATAGATAAGTAGGATTTAATCAGTGTGACGTGACGCGAATATCCTATTTCCTGTGTCTATGACGTATTGACATACGCACCAACAAAAATGTTATCTGCTTTGCAAAAATTTTTCCCAGCCAGAGTCCTGGGTTTATAGTATACTAGCTTCTACCCGCGGCTTCGCCCGCGTTCCCATAGGATAAAAAGGCTACGTGTTATCCCAGACCATAACCTATAGCTTTTTCTTTCAACCAGAACCCTTCAAGCGTTTTTACGTAATTGATTAACAAACATATACACAAGTACACAAAGTCACAAAAGTCAAAGTCAAAGCATTTATTTCAATTAAACCATATTTCGGTACTTGTGAAACGTCAACAAATACAAAATAAATATTAGTCTGTCAGTCAATCCGTCAGTGAACTAGGTGAAGCTAGGTTGCTCATTCCAAAATGTAGATTCGAATGGAGAAAAACGAGCAAGAAACTCCATTCGTTACTCTTTTTAACCCGTCGAGCGTCCGCGTTCCTTATGATCCAACGGGTGCACACGTGACATTTGGAGAAAGAAAGAAAGAAAGAAATAAAGAAAATCCATTTATTTGGCCATTGGCACACGAAAACAAGGATCTATATATATAAAAGAAAGTTGTGTTAGTTACACTACTTATAACTCAAGAACAGCTACATCGATTTGGATGACAATTGGTGGGGAGGTAGATTAGAACCAGGAGACGGACATAGGATACTTTTTCATCGAATTTTTACTCACTTAAAAAAGTACATTGTACATAGAACATAAGTACTTTTTTATACATATTCTATTACAAACTTCATTTATGTATAATATTAGTAAGATAGATCTCGCATGGAGTTGTTATTCTGTGCCGGAACATGATATACAGGGTGGAATCTTGTAATGCTACCTGAAGGGGAACTCTTATTACTAAGTGCTTTAACCATTGAATCAAAAATTGAATTATTAATTTAAGATTTCATTGTTGTCTTTTCATTCAATTTCGGAAGTTTGTTAAAGAAATTTCAACCTTATTGACCATAACGATCGATGCAATAAAAGTATAGGGTGGAACTTTTATAATTTACAGATTTTAGTCAGTTCGATTAAGTACCTACCGTGTTTTTTTTAAATATTTGAATGCCGTTATTTTTCTTTTCAAAAATAAAGGAATGTTTTCTTTGTGTAAAATTTTCTATCTAAAATATTAAGAGTACTTCGCCATCAGGTGGCATTACAACATTCCACCCTTTTTTAAGGGGGGGGGGGGGGTCCATCGTATTACTGCTCCCGCCTGGGTGAGACGGGAGGAAGTGTCAGTCTCTTACTGACTAAAAACCACCTCGTTCCTTCTCCTGCACGTCGAGCCGGAGCCCCGGTAACCCGTTAGGTTCTCCGCGAATAACATTCCACCCTGTATTAAATCTACATGTAAGTATATCAAACTTTATCAACAGATCTCTACATATTATTGTTACTATAACAATGTCGGGGCCACGGTTAGTAAATCTATTAATAAGTTATAAACACGCTACTCCTATTTATGATATTGAAATAACATAACATAACACATACATAACATCACGCCTTTTATCCCCGAAGGGGTAGGCAAAGGTGCACATTATGCCACTACAATGTAACACCCACTTTTCACTATTTAAATAATTACCTACAAATCTGTGAAGAGCCTAACTGCCTCGTTGGCCGGGCAAGGGGTCTCGTGTTGAATTCTCGGGTCGAGCAAAGCATTACTGGGGTTTTAAAAAAATCTCGGTAGTAGTTCGGAGTTTGGGATTGTGCTCCGTATATGGCAACAGGTTCACTCCCTATTACACGGGACTCATAACAGAAATAGTGAAAAGTGGGTGTCACATTGTACAGTGACATTAAGTGCCGTAGTGTGCACCTCTGCCTAACCTTGGGGTAAAAGGCGTGACATTATGTTATGTCTGTGAAGTACAAAATTCTGGTTGTACAAAATGACACACACCTAATGAGGAAAAACATTTGTTAACAACGAACGTAATTCTCCAAAGCGTAAATGAATAAACCAATAGTTCTAACTAATTTTTCATTTAAGTGTGGGAGAGTCATGCTTCGGCATGAATCTCCGGTTCGACCGGAGTGATACCACGGCCTTACAGAAGAACGACGTGAAACAACGTTGTGTTGTTTTTCGTCGTGTGAGTGAGGTTACCGAATGCCCAATTAAAGGGGGGGCCTTTCCCCAATCTCTGTATCCCCAACAATCCTCAAATTCCTAATCCCCAAAAGGCCGGTAACGCACTTGTAACGCTTCTGATGTTCCAGGTGTCCATGGGCGACGCCGATTGCTTACCATCAGGTGATCCGTCTGCTCGTTTACCGGCTTATCCCATAAAAAAAATCTAGATTTATACGATGCTGTATTTTTTTAATATTCAATTTGCAAACTAACTGTTGTTATTGGTCGTTTGATATGATAAACGCACCCAGGAGCCGGATCTCATGATCAAGCGCACTTACAACCTCTATAATATCAACAAGCCAACCAACCGCTAAAAAAAATCTTTCGAATGGATTACCATCAACAAGCAAGTGTAGGAGAGCCATACTTCGGCACGAATGGGCCGGTTCGACCGGAGTGATACCACGGCCTTACAGAAGAACGACGTGAAACAACGTTATGTTGTTTTTCGTCGTGTGAGTGAGGTTACCGAATGCCCAATTAAAGGGGGGGCCTTTCCCCAATCCCTGTATCCCCAACAATCCTCAAATTCCTAATCGCAAAAGGCCGGTAACGCACTTGTAACGCTTCTGATGTTCCAGGTGTCCATGGGCAACGCCGATTGCTTACCATCAGGTGATCCGTCTGCTCGTTTACCGGCTTATCCCATAAAAAAAATCTAGATTTATTTGATGCTGTATTTTTTAATGCTCAATTCGCAAACTAACTGTTGTTATTGGTCGTTTGATATGATAAACGCACCCAGGAGCAGGATCTCATGATCAAGCGCACTTACAACCTCTATAATATCAACAAGTCAACCAACCGCTAAAAAAAATCTTTCGAATGGATTACCATCACAAGCAAATGTGGGAGAGCCATACTTCGGCACGAATGGGCCGGCTCGACCGGAGTGATACCACGGCCTCACAGAAAACCGACGTGAAACAACGCTTGCGTTGTGTTTCGTCATGTGAGTGAGGTTACAGGAGGCTCAATTACCCAGCCACCCCGGGGAAGGGGGTCCCCAATCGCCCCAATCCCAGAATCTCCTTGCAACGCCTCTAGTGTTCCAGATGTCCATAGGCGATGCCGATTGCTTACCATCACATGATGCTCGTATGCTCGTTTACCGGCTTATCCCATAAAAAAACAGTAAGGTCAAGGGTTAAACATTGCCATACAACGTGGCAATGCTGCCAGTCTTTTGGACACGGACTCCTTGTCACGACCACGATGAGGTACATCATACGATACGGATCTTACGATAAACAACCGTAGTCGAATAACAAGTCAATGAATACTAACAAGACCTACAAGTCACTTTGGTTAGCTCTCAATCACCATTAGTGACCACCGCCAATATGTACTAGGTAGTGTGTGCGCAATAGCCCAGAATAACGAAATGGTAATAGTGCCCATCTATCGGTGCATCATAACATCATGCCTTTTTTCCCGAAGGGGTAGGCAGAGGTGTACATTATGCCACTGTACAATATAATACCCACTTTTCCCATGTAATAGGGGGTGTACCTATTGCCACATACCGGGCACAATTCCAGACTCCGTGCTACAACTGTGTTTTTTTTTTTAAAACCCAGTTTTACTTTGTCCGACCCAGGAATCGAACCCGAGACCCCTTACCCGGCAGTCGCCCTTGCGACCACTCGGCCAATGAGGCAGTCTATCTATCGGTGCATTTACTAAAAATCCTTCCTAATAGATTTCAAGGTATTTTGAATACTTTATACGATTCGGTTCATATTTTATCCTTATCATATTTCACCACTGCTGATTAAATTTCTGTTACTTTTTATGAAATAGGCTCTTAGACTAATATTTAAATACGATACGGATCAGAAGATACGAGATCTCGTCGAATTTACAATCACGCGACTAGCGGAACAATCGTAGGTAGGTATCTCCTTTTTTTTAAGGGGGGAAAGGTTCTCTCCTACGGTTACGATACGAAAGATAAGGTTGCTTTCGGCAGCTGTAGCCAAATACCATTCAGCGCTTGTCTACATGTAAATAGAAAACCAAATTATATGGAATTAACGTAAATTTTGACACTTGTCAGTGTTATCCCCATACATTTAGTTTTCTACTCTCTCTCTGTAGACAAGCGCTAATGTGGCGTTTGGCTAAAGGCACGGGCATGCCCTCTCTGTACAATAACATTTTTAATTCAAAAATAAAAAAAATAATACTTTGCCCTACTTTATAATCAACAGGCATTAAAGTAGAGGAAACATTGTTTTTGGAGACAGTCATCATTTAAAATAACGATAAAATGACATCGTAATATACAGACATTCGTAGGAAATAATCAATCAACATTATGACAGATACAACCGATATTTATGTTTACCTAAAGCGCGTTTAGATAACGACAGAGGTCACGATATTTATAGGCCACAGATAATTAATTAAAAAGATCGTCCGGTTCATTGTTTTGGAGTTTTTAGACCATTCCAAGAAATGTTTACAGAAAAATGTAATTTATCAATGAACAAGTGCCTACTCTCTTATAGGATGTTTGTTATAATAGAGTATGAATCATAATAATTGTTTTAACAACATCATAGAATTAGGCATTAAAACAGGTTAAGTGGCGCGAATGCGAATACTGAGTAGATACTCAGTACCGCATTGTCAGGTCAGCACAGCAGTCTACCTACGATATCCACTACTTATATTATTGCCAGTTCACTTTACATCATTATCAGCCGGAAGATATTCGGCCTCTCCCTACATCCTATATGTCGAATATCAACTACAGCATCTTGCATCCATATAAAAATTTCAAAATTGAAAAACGTAATATTTCGGATCCAAAAATATTTTCGGTGAAGGAGGTAACTTATTTAAATCGAGATATGTTTAAATTAATATATTACATAGAACACTAACCTTGTTGTTCAACTTTTTGCGTCCTCGGATCCTCCCATTTTATATAAATCAAGGCGTACCAGTTACCTGGCTTAGGGTTCTCTATAGAATACGTCTTATTTCTGCCGTCAGATAGCAGTTCTAGCGTATAAATGGGCTCTCTTTTCCCTGGATCGTAGAAATCTTTGGGGAAATCGTACCCATCAGGATTAACCGCAGGGTAGGACCCGTGCTTGAGGTTTACTATCACCTCTTGTGGATTGCATGATCCTGAAATAGAAAAAAAAGCTATTTTAACACATTTTTATAGAACAAAAAATTAGTATATGAACAAAACCTTATCTGCTATCGCACAGATTTCGATAACGGTGAAAATTCATATTTACATGTTGAGCTTAAACAAATAGTTATCGTATTCTTCCAAAGATAACGTTGTATTGGATTGATAAAAAATGTTGGCTAATAAAATATTACGTAGATCGATCAAATGACGCGGCGTTCCGTTGAATAGTTAATGTTTCTGTCTAATGGCTTTTTCCCAATTAAGTTAAAGTCCGCATTGATTGGTTCCATGTTTAAATAAAAATCCATTGACTATTCCCCATTAACGCTGCCAGCGCCTCTAGCGGACACTTCCAGCGCTATAAACTGACCGAGTGTCTTGAAATAGTGTACAAGACCGAAACTCCAGAAACCCGCAAGATCGTTTACCAGCGACAATCAATTAATTTGGTTAGTTTCATGAAACAGCCCACGCAGGCTTGCCTCACTTACAGCGGCGACAAATTACTTAGATTGGACCAATTACTTGGGTATTGAATTACCCTTAGCTATATTTTATGTACGCCACAACCCCGTGTGGGAGAGGGCCTGAAATATAATGAAAAGGGACGAACCTAACTTTTGAGTTAATTTTGAAGTGACTGAATATTATTGTACTCTTCAACACATGTTTAAAGGCATGATGATTCAGATTAGGCATAGTACACACTGCATAATAGGGTGGGAAATCAAAGCTTCTTTATAATTAATGAACCGGTGATATTTTCCTAATTGAATTCATTAGCAAATGACCTTTTAGTGAAAACGGATACAGTGACAATGACCTGATTAAAGAGAATTCACCCATTGACCAATGTAGAAAAATATTGGCTTGAAATACATCCTTACATACTAAATTATAAAATTGTGTAAGATTGTTAGCATTTAATGGATAAGTCAGGTGATGTAAGGTATGATTTTGGTGTCGGGAAATAGTTAGGAGGCTAGAGAGAGATTTTGAATTAATTTTAACCTTTACCATATAGTTGAAGCTACTCCATTTACTGAGTTTAAAATGTCATAAAACATTAATCTTCTCCAAACACAAATAAGATGTAACATCATGAAGTAACGCAGGAAATCTTCAATTACTCGAAGACGAGACAATCAGTTAACAAAGCATAGCAACTGGACGGACACTTGGACAATAAATGCATTATCGTAGGCGTGAGGTTTGCATCACTCTCGAGGTGAAGCTAAATTAAATGCATTGTGTTAATTAGCGCAGAGGCTAAAGATGATATTATCTATATGTATTTTAATATATTATATTATGTATGATACAGTTATTAATAAGCATGATTTAAAAATTACATTGAGCCTGATTATTTTAATTTTACACTAGGTACCTCATTATTTTCGTTATGAACTTTTTAGTAAGCTTCCAATAGGATTTGCTTAAATCAAGGTTTTTAAGAAAAAAACAACAAAAGCATTTCGGATAACGAGTTGGTTGGTTGGTTGCTGTTTGGAAATGCAATGACAATTTTTAAGAAATGATTTTTTTTATTACCTAAGTCCTGTTTGTATACTGTATAGAAGTTCATTATTCATCTGTTTATCCATTTGCAGATTGATACTAGTATTACTAATTTTACTTCTATATATATACCTAGTTATAAAATAAGTAATTATGAGAAGCAAACTACAACTAGGTAGTAGATCACTGGTTAGCATCTATTCATCTATGAAATAGTTACTGTAACCTTTTCACTACTAAGACCACAATTTTAAGACTGGTAATAAGCAGATGGAGTTGGATGACTGTTAGAAATGGTTAGCCAAATGTAATTTAAATTCTACATTACTCTATTTCACCTACTTACATTTTTAAACTAAAATTTATTGAGTTTATATACCTATATACTTAATTAGATATAATTATTATTTTTTTAAAACAAATTAGCAAGTTTTTATAATAGTTAGGTATACCAGACTTGAATTATAATGCCTCAACAACAATAGTAAATATTAAAAAATTATGTTATTAATAAATTTAAACTATTTTTTTTAATAAATAGGCAGTCTGTAATTTTAGACATTTAACTAATTCATTTTAAATATTCCAGGTCACATCAGGCAGAAGTTATAAATTTTTCAGTAGTAATAAATGTTTATATAAAATTAATTATATGAACTTTTCCCAACTATTTGTGATATGAAAATAAAGTAAACTTGTTAATTTTAACGACCTTACCTTTGAGCCCGATACTTTCTTCTTATTATAATTTAAGTAAATAAATGATTATTTAAAACATTCCACATGCAATAATATTATTCAGCTTTCAAGTATAGTTTTCAAAACTTATACTAAGAGATATTTTAGCATGCTACCTACCAATGTTATTCAAATGAAGCTCCTCAGATTGGAAGGTGAAGCGAGCGTCGGTAACATCCCTCATAACAGGGTAGAAGACAACAGAAACGGTGCGGTAACTTCTAAACATATATACATCAGTGGCAACCTGCCTAGTAACCAAATGGTAATCATCTAATAACACAGTACGTGTCTTTGTTAATTGGTCCAGTATCCTCTTCCTGGTCTCCTCATCTTCTGTGTCTTCAGTACCAAAAATAAAATCGGTGCACACAAATAATAATAAAAGAAATTGGCAAGCTCTCATTTCGACGATTAAGCCTACCTGCCTACAACACGTCCCGATTTGAAGTGTGAAACATTAACAGAAACCAGTAGGATATCTAGCTTAATTCACAACTTATTTATTAATCATTAAATATTCAGGTATTTAATCACGTTTCACGTTATCTGCGAGCACATCCACCGCAGATGTGACGATGGATCACAACGAACTTTTGAAAAAAACTTCACTCCACACCACACAATAATCAATCAACAAACCATTTGTCAAACTTGACATTATCAAATGACAAATATGTCAGTGTCAAGCAAATGTCAGTTCATCTTTTTTCTTTAGCATGAATATTAGTCTTTTTAACTTTATTTATGTCATCGCATTATTTGTATTTGATTTCCACTCGACGTCGACTAACAACCTTCATACATTATAATAATTATTTTAGAAGTTTTTTTAAGTAAACAACAGAAGCTATAGTTGATAGTTGCCTAGTAGTTGGTTGTTGCCGCAAGTAAATTATCAATTACTGTTAGTTCTAAGTATGAATGACAGATTTGACAGCAAATTGACCGACTGATGAATGAATGAACTACTATCAAATTGGTATTGTCATTGTATAATTTTTCCCACAATTGTGGGAATTTGACTACAAACACATATGCATGTGGTATCCCATAGGGTAGGCAGAGATTATGGAACGCCTATTACTACGATTTTACATACTTCATTCACAAAAAACACCGAAAGATTTTTTTCTCATCATTGCCTATGCACAAGTCACACAGTTGTATCTAATTATTTATGTCACTTGTGATATAAATAATTACTACAACGTTAATACATAATATCAGTACTCTGATTTGTCAGTAAAAAATACAATTCAATTAGAATTTATAGGTTCGGTCATATTACTTCAGAAAAGGAAGTTTTAAGTTTGATCTGTATATATGTCTGTTTGTGCGCGATTATATCTCAATTGGCTGAACCGATTCTGATGAATCAGAATCTGTTTGTTACATTTTGGAGAAGATGAATCAGTTCGTTCCACTTTGGAGAAGGGTTTGAAATCGATTTTTAGATGTAGTTTGTCATTGCCATTCCTATCTGATTTGAATATTTTAAAACAAAAACTATGACCAATGTTAAATTTTACTGCCGCATCGTTATAGTGGTTGGTTGTCTTTATATGCTTTAGGTTAGATTTTAATATTTTATCATCAAACTATTTTCCAAATATTTTCTTGCAGATACCACGAAAACTAATTTTAAATACTCCAATCCAAAGGTAATCGTTATTTTTAAGTGTGGCATCACAAAAATCTTTTTGCAACCGCGAGCCCGGCGCGCGCATGTTTCGCTCTTTGCTATAAAATTCAGGAGTTTGCAATAAATAATGGCTTCGACTGTAAACTCGAAGCAAACAGCCGTAAACGGTGAATTACCGTCGAGTGCACAACCGTGTCCGTGCGAAATACCTAAAATGGAAAATAAAGTTGCCGTTGTTTTGGGTGCTCAATGGGGTGACGAGGGAAAAGGAAAAGTTGTGGATTTATTGGCTGTTAACTGTGACATCGTGTGTCGTTGTCAGGTAAGACAAATCTTCTTGTTTTTCTAATTAGACTTGCGGTGTGTTGGTTTTCATTAAACTGGTGCTCCTTTTTAATAACTTTTCTCTCAGCTCGGACAGTTAGTCATTCATGGTTTTAGCTGCAGTGTTTATGACGGATATTTTGAGGTTATACTATGCGAGAGAATTAGAGCTTCTAATAATTGATTTTACAGTGTTTTCATTACTTTTATCTTCGTTATCATATTTCGGGATACTAAAACAGTTTATTTAGAAAGCCTTTAGTTTTGGCGGCGCGCCAGAATTTGTTTGAAAACATGTGAACTGTGAACACAATGTTTTTGTACGAATTCTTGATTATAAGACGCGTGCCAAGAGTCTTAGCGGGAATTCAGATCTGATGTGCGCGAGTTCAATGTTGCGTAAACTCGCCAGTTCCGGTCACTATTATGTAACAATATAATATATGGAGATTTTTTACTAATATTTTTAATAGTCATATGACTGTAATGATGTACGTACATACATAGTAATTTATATTCGTAAATAGACCTTGCGTAGCGCGGCTACTAATTGTGGATTATTGCCAAGGTCTGGGACATTTATTGTCATGGTTACTCTATGATTATTTCTAAATTCTCTCCTCTGTATTTTCTAGGGCTCTCTCTAAATATAAGTAGGTTGTTTTTAGAAATGTTTGACACTCCAAGGAGACTTTATTGTTTATAATCATAATAGCTAGAAAGTCTAAGATTAATTCTTAGTAATCAGATATGGTTTGCACTTTGTACAATATATTGTATTTATAGCATTTGAGTTTTATGATAAAAATCTTATTTATATTTATGTAGTCAGTAGCAGTAGTTTTATAAATGAGTTTTCATATTACACCTTTACCTAGTTATAACCTTACCTACTTCTATCTGATTTTGTACATGAATAGGTACTTTAAAATTTCATATTTAAATGTGAAGTGGAATAGACACATGTTTTTTTTTTCAAAATCTCTGCTTACTAGGTCAGAAAAAAGTTTTTATTAATAACCTTTGTTTCGCAGATATTGAGGGTGTTATAAGTTTATCAGGCACATGACTTAAACAAATTAACTTAGTCATAATATCTCATTTACAATCCAGTTTAAACAGGAACTAACTACATTGATGTCGTTATAAATTAATAATAATACTTATGTTAATTATATACATGTCTGTGATTCTGCAGGTTTATTTTCATATCTAAACAGGTCTGCTTATTCTCCAAATATAGGCACTATTCATTATTCTCCAATTATAGACACTATTCATTATTCTCCAATTATAGACAGATTTACAATCTAATACTTGCTTTTACATCTCATCTGTATTTTGTCATATATTGTACGGTAAAATTACCAAAGTCGAAATCTCAACTGCCCATTTATCATTTTTAACTTGAAAATTACAAAATACCATTAACACCAATCACTATTGTCCATTAATGCTATCACCATTTTGTATTTAGAATCCTTTCCCTTCTATTTACACACCGAATGGTTATATCATTGTTTATCTGTTTATTTAGAAATAGAACTATTGGGTAGATAAAATATGACTAGCAACAAAGGTGAATAACCTTAGTATATTTGGGTGATAATGTAGGTAGGTAGACATATATTTTTATCTGAATTCTAGTGGATAGACGAAACTTTTACAATGACTAAAATAACAACAAATCTTATTGGACAGAGGTAGATGCAAAAAGAAATGAATTAGACAATAAAAAAAATTGTTTCAATTCTAGTGGTCAATAAAAATTAAATCAAACTTTTCTAGAAAATGTTCTCAATTCAAACTTTTTAGCTTTTTACGCGCCAATTTTAATATTGATGCGAAATAAATTACGCGCGCAATCGATCGCGGAAGTCAGATATTATGATGATTGCAGTCACTATGTTACGTTACGTAAAACTTCGATTAATTGCGAGTTCAAGTTCGATATTGCAATAACATTTTATGTTACTTTCGTTCAAAGTACACGGTTACTATGTTAAATCAATATGACTGAGTGACTCAGTGGCTGACTGATAAGACAACTTACAGTCAAAAGTACTGGGGATAGTGAATGGAGAAGTAAAAGACTAAAAAGTCAAAATGTAGCATTTGAGTTCCTTGAGAGATGTCTACAAAGAAAGTGCTTCCCGTTAAAAGACTATTCTGCTTGTTTGTCTTCTCATCCCAAAAAAAAGACAATTGCGATTTCTGTGCATATCCAAAATCGCTTAATCTAAAATACCTACCTATAATGTTTTTAATAAGAACCTCTGTGGAACGTGTAATTTTCTTTACACGATTTTTTTCTCTAATATATTTTAAGAAGGTCGTGCTATATGTAGACCGCGTCACAGGGGGTGGGGCAGAGGTGTGACTGCAGCAGTTACATGTTCAACTTCTATATTTACGTCACGATAAATGTAGTTTGTAATTTAGTTAAGGAACCGATGTATGTATTAACTTATAGAAACTAACATTTCCGATCGTTTCTTTATTCTTTTTTTTTCAACTAATGATAACTTATGATAATGATAACATAGATTACAAAATAAAATATAATACGAAATTGTAAGCCCCGTGCTGACCATTTGCAGAGTCGAGCAAAGAGTAAAGAGTATCTAGGTAGTAAGACGTTTGTATATGAGGATAAATTGGTTGTACCTATACTAACAATATTTAATCAGCCTCAACATCAACTATCCTTAATACCAATGAATCAGAATCATGATGAATAACATGTACCATATGCAGCCAATCAGCATTCGTTTATCTCATTGCCAGTAATCAGTAACAGACCGGATGGCTATATTATTAATTAAATAAGATTTAAAAACTAATAAAATCATTAGTTAAATACCACCAGTCTCCATGTATACTGTACAGACATGACATAGTACCTACCTACATCCGAACAAAATGATTAATTTATATGTAGCTTTAAAGATAATTGCACTTATCACACTTCGCAGTTGTTACTATTACTACAGATAATATTAATTACCGATCTACTTACAAATTAAGTTGGTAGGTACTGTAGTTATCTTAAAAATAAGGAAATTGAGTGTCTATATAAGAGATAAGTCAGTATAACATAAGTAGTGAAGGACATCATTAAACGAATTTTTCCATTATCCAATTAAGATAATTATATTTCCAATTTTAGAACCTAAATATCAAGATCAAATGTAACAATACCTGATAAAAGTTCTGGAACCAATAACACCCATGACCAAAATCTATTGGAAAAAGGAAAGCCTCTATTATTAAAATTCCCCAAAAATTTCAGAAAGTAATTCATAACAAAAAATTTCAATGTCGTCGATATTTGATGTGTTAACTATAATAATAACATAACTGAGATAAACTGTAAACAAAAACATCCTCGATTTAAGAAATAATAACTTGATACTTACATTAAATGGCAATCAATTACCTAATATACAAGGTTAATTACTACGATAAAGATTTTTGCGTAATTAGGTAGGTAAGGCAAAAATGAAAATAAACAACGTTAATGAATGAACTAATGTGAATCCAATCTTACTGTTATTGACCTGTTAGTACCCGGAGCGAGGCGGACTGGGATGCAGTCTCCTCCTTCTGCAAAGCAGTCATGCTAGCTAAGGAGGAGGCGGAGCGCGTGAGGGATCGAACCTCCTCACGCCCCGGCCGTCGCGACTTGCGAGAGATGTCTCTCGGGCGTCGGGGATCGCGAGACGATGTCCGGCCACCGTAAGCACGGGTCTGCGGACGGCAAGCACGGGTGACTCGTCGCCCGACCAGAACCAGGCCCGAGCGTACGGCGCGTTGCATTCCGCGCGCGCCTCAACGAGCCATCAGACCACCACAGATGGTGCCCAACAGGGCTGATGCCGTTACGGAACCGCGGAAGACTTATCGAGTTGCCAGGGCTCCGGCTCGAAGTGCACGAGAAGTAATGGGTTTGACACTCCCTCCCGCCTCACCCGGGCGGGAGAAGTCATTGGATGATATTCCCCCTCAAAAAAAAACCTATACATAATTATATTTTAAATTCAAAAATATTTTTTTTTCTCTAATTTTTATATTTCTGATCGTAGTAGGTGTTTAAAAGTTCTAGTAGGTCTTCCTTTAAGATAATATTCATAATACCCAATGCCTCTTTATACACAGAAAAAATCTCCCATCATTTAAGAATTTTTAGTGAAGATATCATGTAGGGATATTTCTAAACAATAATGCGAAGAACGATATCTAGGCTGTTTGATCACATAAAAACATATTTAAAATAGTTCCCAGTTGTTCTTTGTAGCAGTGTTTAGTTTGCCACGTATTTTTTATTGTAAACAGTCGGCGTAATTTGTAGCTAACGGCTAACATCGGCCGTTGATTTAAAACGATTACAGCAGATGGTAATAATACACTGTAACGTAGGTGTTTGTGGTTTCGAAACCTTAAACTACCAACAAAACGTATTTTAACTATCACATAGTTAGTTTTCGTGTTCTTCTCGTCTCTCAATCATCAGGTAAAATGATTTTATTTGATCTCTGTCTGCTCCCACAATAGTTACATTTATTTATTGTTAAGGACTAAAGTGCCTTTGATGCAATCGGTGCTTCTATTGAGAGTATTTTCTAACTTAGATTTCGTAGTTCCTGATGACTTGAGAGCTGGAGAAACCGCAAAGAATAAAGAGAAAATATAAAATGTAGTCTTACTAGACTACATTTTATATTTTCAGTTACGAGTCAGATACTTCTGACTCGTACATTTAATCAGTTAGTTTACAAAGCAAAAGTTTTGCAATTGTTTACAAACTAGACTGTTTACGTTTCACAATGTTGTGACAGATTGTGTTTATTTGGAGCGGACGCGAGACAATTAGAGAAATCTCTAACTTATTTGTAACAAGGTTGCAAGCTTTCTATTTTCTATTATGCTTTAAATAGGTACATTAAATACGTAAGATATTAATTGGGTATTAAATAACTTCTTGGACATAATCATCCA